CCTAGCTGTCTGTCTCCTCACCTAGCTGTCTGTCTCCTCACCTAGCTGTCTGTCTCCTCTCTCCTCTCCTCTCCTCACCGAGCTGTCTGTCTCCTCTCTCCTCTCCTCTCCTCACCGAGCTGTCTGTCTCCTCTCTCCTCTCCTCTCCTCTCCTCACCGAGCTGTCTTTCTCCTCTCTCCTCTCCTCACCGAGCTGTCTGTCTCCTCTCTCCTCACCGAGCTGTCTGTCTCCTCACCGAGCTGTCTGTCTCCTCTCTCCTCTCCTCACCGAGCTGTCTGTCTCCTCACCGAGCTGTCTTTCTCCTCTCTCCTCTCCTCACCGAGCTGTCTGTCTCCTCACCGAGCTGTCTTTCTCCTCTCTCCTCTCCTCACCGAGCTGTCTGTCTCCTCTCTCCTCACCGAGCTGTCTGTCTCCTCTCCTCACCGAGATGACTCCTCTCTCCTCACCGAGCTGTCTGTCTCCTCTCTCCTCACCGAGCTGTCTGTCTCCTCTCTCCTCACCGAGCTGTCTGCCTCCTCTCCACCACTCCTTATAGCCAACAATGATGATAACTGTAAGGTCAGGGCCCGTATCCACAAAGGTCAGGGCCCGTATCCACAAAGGTCAGGGCCCGTATCCACAAAGGTCAGGGCCCGTATCCACAAAGGTCAGGGCCCGTATCCACAAAGGTCAGGGCCCGTATCCACAAAGGTCAGGGCCCGTATCCACAAAGGTCAGGGCCCGTATCCACAAAGGTCAGGGCCCGTATCCACAAAGGTCAGGGCCCGTATCCACAAAGGTCAGGGCCCGTATCCACAAAGGTCAGGGCCCGTATCCACAAAGGTCAGGGCCCGTATCCACAAAGGTCAGGGCCCGTATCCACAAAGGTCAGGGCCCGTATCCACAAAGGTCAGGGCCCGTATCCACAAAGGTCAGGGCCCGTATCCACAAAGGTCAGGGCCCGTATCCACAAAGGTCAGGGCCCGTATCCACAAAGGTCAGGGCCCGTATCCACAAAGGTCAGGGCCCGTATCCACAAAGGTCAGGGCCCGTATCCACAAAGGTCAGGGGCCCGTATCCACAAAGGTCAGGGCCCGTATCCACAAAGGTCAGGGCCCGTATCCACAAAGGTCAGGGCCCGTATCCACAAAGGTCAGGGCCCGTATCCACAAAGGTCAGGGCCCGTATCCACAAAGGTCAGGGCCCGTATCCACAAAGGTCAGGGCCCGTATCCACAAAGGTCAGGGCCCGTATCCACAAAGGTCAGGGGCCGTATCCACAAAGGTCAGGGGCCCGTATCCACAAAGGTCAGGGGCCCGTATCCACAAAGGTCAGGGCCCGTATCCACAAAGGTCAGGGCCCGTATCCACAAAGGTCAGGGGCCCGTATCCACAAAGGTCAGGGCCCGTATCCACAAAGGTCAGGGCCCGTATCCACAAAGGTCAGGGCCCGTATCCACAAAGGTCAGGGCCCGTATCCACAAAGGTCAGGGGCCCGTATCCACAAAGCGTCTCAAAGTAGGAGTGCTGATCAAGCATCAGTTTAGACTTTTGGATCATAATGAATAAGATTGTATAGACAGATCCTAGACAGATCCTAGACAGATCCTAGACAGATCCTAGACAGATCCTAGATCACCACTCCTTGTGGCCAATAATGATGATATCTGTAAAGTTTGATCCTATTCCTTTCATAACTAGGGGTCAAACAGGAATTGTGTAGTTTTACTGCCCAGTTTGCCCCCTGCTCTACTGCTGTCTGAACAAAGGCAATTTACCATTTATAATGAATTTATCTAGGTATAGACCTAGATGTACTGGGATCAGTGGTTTGTTGTTTTTCTGAATGCCCTATCTCCAACCTTCACAAATGGAGTAGAACTTAGAAGACATTGCAAACTGTAGTAAAGATCTTGTGTAGCTGCCTAGTCTCGCATGCCAGACATTACAGAGTCAAGTTTGTCTAAATATTATGCAATATTCTGAGACACTTGTCTGGCTGTGTGAGATTTTAGATTAATAGCCCCCCTCGTGACAGTTGGTCTATGGTTGAAAGATGGAAATATCGCTCTACCTCATTGATATGTTTCGCACCGTGACAGTTGGTGCTTTTCTACATGATAGAACAGGGTCGAGACCAACAGCAGAACTCTAATCCTGGGACGTGATTAACATGCGTTCCCTTAGACTTCACGTCATTGGGCTCCCGAGGGGCGCAGCGGTCTAAGGCACTGCATCTCAGTGCTTGAGGCGTCACTACAGACCCCCCCCTGGTTCGATTCCAGGCTGTATCACAACCGGCCGTGATTGGGAGTCCCATAGGGCGGCGCACAATTGGCCCAGCGTCGTCCGGGTTTGGCCGGTGTAGGCCTTCATTGTAAATAAGAATTTGTTCTTAACTGACTTGCCTGGTTAAATAAAGGTTAAATAAAAAATAAAATAAATATGAAGTACGTACCATAAAACATACTGTACCAAAATTCACAGGACACGATTTATACTCCCCCCCCCCCCCCCCCCCCCCCCCCCTCCCCCTTTCCAGAATTATTTCGATAACCTTATCAGAGGGTGTGTGAATGGTACAGACCATGTCTGTGTCCTCTCTCCTTACCTAGCTGTCTGTCTCCTCTCTCCTTACCTAGCTGTCTGTCTCCTCTCTCCTCACCGAGCTGTCTGTCTCCTCTCTCCTTACCTAGCTGTCTGTCTCCTCTCTCCTCACCGAGCTGTCTGTCTCCTCTCTCCTCACCGAGCTGTCTGTCTCCTCTCTCCTCACCGAGTTAGGTCCAGTCAGTGTGTGTTGTGCCCCAGTTAACGTTTTGATTTGATTTGATTATGACCTGTTTTGGTTGCAACATTTGTGTTCCGCCACACTTCCTTCCGGGATAATGTGCAATATGGTATCTCATTACCTGTCATGTTTATCTAATATGTATATTGTATGAACAAGTGACAAGTTGTTTTGAAAACAACAAAATCACCAACGTCTTCCATTTAAGGTCTTCATATGCATTAGCTTTTATATAGAGGGATTGTGGTGCCAAGGTTATAACTAGCTGTGCATGAAAGGTAGCTAGTGATGCTTGCTTACTATGGGATGTAGAGAGGGTTGTGGGTTCGATTCCCACGGGGGGCCAGTATGAAAAAAATAAAATAATAATGTAAGTCACTCTGGATAAGAGCGTCTGCTAAAATGTAAATGTAAAATGTACTAATGAGAATTCTAGAGAAATTGATTTCTATAAACAGACAGAACGTGTTTGGCTACTAACTGGGAGATTTGAATTGTTAATATCTATTCAGACCCGAGATGATGTATAATTATATAATATCTATTCTAAACTATATGCGTTCTATATAATTAACACTTAAGAATCGACATCGTTGTCAGTAGTCATTGACCAATAAAATAGTCTGTAAAAGCAGAATACTGTAATGTACCGGTAGAGTGATACCTCAGTCTGGAATGCAAACCGTTTTTTTTTTGTTCAGAATATAGTAAAAAGCAAGTATTTGATTAGACATTTTTTTTAAGCAATAACAATTCTGCATGATTTGTGTATTTTGAGGGTATTTTATCTATTGTAATCTGTTTTTTAAAGGAATTTTTAGGATATTAGTAGCTATAATCAACGTTTTGGGAAGAGTATTGAATATACTCTGCTTTAGAATACAGTATGTTCCAAGTAAGAATGTTTTGGGACTCTGCTTTAGAATACAGTATGTTCCAAGTAAGAACGTTTTGGGACTCTGCTTTAGAATACAGTATGTTCCAAGTAAGAACGTTTTGGGACTCTGCTTTAGAATACAGTATGTTCCAAGTAAGAACGTTTTGGGACTCTACTTTAGAATACAGTATGTTCCAAGTAAGAACCACCCAACCGGACATAAAGGTACCACATTGAAAACAAAATGCTGAATTTTTGGATTGGCAAAACAGTCTGTATTCTGGGGAAACTCTGTTCCGGCTTGCATCCTAAACGGGACCAGTGCTCTACTTTTGGGCTCTGGGAGAAAGAAAAAAAAAAGTAGTGCACTTTTTATACGGAATAGGGTGCCATTTGTCAGATTCATACAATAGCGTTCTGTAAGAACCACTGATTTTAGTTGGCCTATTTTAATGCCTTGTTTTACATTCTGTTTCCTTGTTCCACCATTGTCCAGATCAAACTATCATGTATGTATGTATACATGGGGATTATACCTCATGTCCTGATAACTGAAAGCAATAGATGCCTCAAGGAGAACACTGTAAAGCATTTATCACTACCTGTCTTGAATACTGTGTTCTAAAACTCATTTTAATGCTACATAATGTGGCGATGGTCAGGATCAGAAGATTTTTTAGAATCTGTCATTTTAAACTGCATGAATGTGTGAAAAGATTATGCATGATTAAAGTAAAAGTAATACATTTTGTATTGCATGCAATAATCGACTTTAATTTGTGTTGCTCAATAGAGCTATGCTACTGAAAGGTTGATATTGTACCTCCTATGATATAAGTTGTCTTGACATGTCTTGAATAACAGGGATGGTTGTTGACATTTACAGTGAGCACATTGTAACCACCTGTTCTCCTGTTCTGATCCAGATTACTTTTGATGTACAATGTTAATTATAGTACAAACAGACGGGATTTCAGGCCATTATTTATTTCACACCGTTATGACAGAAAGACTGTATTGATCAACTCGTAAACAACCGAATGAGTGTACTGTGCTTTGTGGTTTAACTATGCACTCCAGAGAGAGGACGCCCTGGGCATGCTAGAACAAGCCTCTTTTTTTCTGGTTTGGTATTTAACTGAAGAATCTGCAATAAAAAAAAAAGCAGCATGGTGCCAATAGCACGAACGACCGGACTGGTTTCAGTGCGTGATTGCAACTTCCTCTTCGTCCAAATCTCGTAAAAGGTGAAGTCTGAACTCTTCAGTGCACAGATAAAGGGAAAAGTGTGTCTGTCCTTAGTCCCTGGGCAAGAGATGTCAACCGACACTCCAGGATAGCAAACATTCATTGATTATAGCGCAGGGCTTTACAAAGATGCAACATGGTCATAGAAGTATGCAATTGAGACGTTTATTGGTTTACATAAGTTTTAATATCTGAACACACACACACACAAGGTGCCATGTCACATTAGTAAACATTTATAAAGTATAGTTTAGCATAAACTGAGGCAAACACATTGAACAGTAGAATACGAGGTAGCTACTTTTGAACATTATCTCAAGGAGGGAACTCCCATTTTCACTCTAAAATTGTCAATTTTGGTGGAACAGCACACCCACACATAGGAACGTCCTCTTATTTAGTCAAATTATTCTGAGCTGGTTTTTTGGCATGATGGCACAACCAGGCTACAAAAAGGCACTTCAAAAACAGAGAACACGGAACAAGAGAATAAAGTCCAGTTGATGGAGGGTTGTCAAACAGAACAGGCTGGTCGTGTGGGATCAGCTTGACTACTGGACAGACGAGGTCGCGTCATTCGTGCGGGTGTCGTCCATCACGGCTGACACATTGTCAAGGTTACTTTCCACTTCCTGGATCAGTTGCGTCAGCTGGCAGGAAGAACGGACGAGACAGGGCCAGGGTTGGGGTCAATTTGAATCGCAGGCAGTTAATTCAGGAAGTTATTATGATTTTCAGTTTATTGAGATTATCTTTTTTTTCTTCTCCCCAATTACAGAATTGAAATTGCAGTTTTATTTCCTGAATTGACCCCAACCCTGAAGGAAATCTTTCACTGGAATTAGCATTAGTTCAAAATAGCATTCATGGCTAGAGGCTAAACATGATTTGACTACTATCGTGGAAATATGATGGGTGTCAACGTGCAGAGTAAAGAAGAACGCAAGTTGTCTTCTTACCTCACTTATACCTTCTCCTAGTGGTGTTACACCAAAGTTGAGTGTAGAGGCTTTCACCATTTGGCCACTGCTGAAAATGTAACTAAACAGGGTGGGGGGAAGAAATAAACATATATTCTGACAGCTATCCCTGTCATATGGCAGGTAAACCAACGATGACTAGCGTTGGTAACAAAAAAAATAAAATAAAGGTAACCGTGTTTCCTACTTACCAGTACATTTTGTCTTTCTTGAGGAGAAAGAGGTTGCGCAGAGCAGACAGGTGCTGTGGTGTTGAGTGGAGGACAACCCCCATGCGGCAGACACAGCCGGAGCAACGGAGAGTGTTGTACACACTAACATGGGGGGGGGGGGGGAAAGGGTTTGATGACATCTGAAATATCTTCTGGACGGGGCCACACACACACACACAGTTTACAAAACATTAAGAACTCCTGCTCTTTCCACGACAGGCTGACCAGGTGAAAGATATGATCCCTTATTGATGTCACTTGTTAAATCCTCTTTAACAAGTGATGAAGGGGAGGAGACAGGTTAAATAAGGATTGTTAAGCCTTGAGACATGGATTGTGTATGTGTGCCATTCAGAGGGTGAATGGGCAAGACAAAAGATTTAAGTGCCTTTGAACGGGGTATGGTAGTAGGAGCCAGGCGCACCGGTTTGTGTAAAGAACTGCAACGCTGCTGGGTTTTCCCACACTCAACAGTTTCCCGGGTGTCTCAAGAATGGTCCACCACCCAAAAGGACATCCAGCCAACTTGACACAACTGTGGGAATGCATTGGAGTCGACATGGTGCCAGCATCCCTGTGGAATGGTTTTGACACCTTGTAGACTCCATCCCCTGACGAATTGAGGCTGTTCTGAGGGCAAAGGGTGGTGGGGAGGGGGGGGGGGTGCAACTCAATATTAGGAAGGTGTTCCTAATGTTTGGTATACTCGGTGTGTATTTGTAGTAAAACATTGCACATTGATCATACCATGCACCGAACCGACCATCCAAGCTCCACTCCCGTTCACCATTGATGGTCACATCTTGGGTTACCTCTGAAAAGAGATGACATCATTACAAAAGCTTTATCCCAAGTGCATCCCATCCTCTATCCATACTGCCTCTGCCAAGAGGTCGGGACTTTAATGGCACAGGTCAGGATGTAACCACAGGGTTGCTGGTTCAAGCCCCAGTGCCCACTCAAGCCATTTCATCTAAAATCGCTACATTGGTAGCAAAGGTAGGATTATCCATGAGGTCTCAGGCTGTTGATGAAATGTGTTTTTATGTTCAAATTGATGGGGTTTGTGTGCTCCTCTTCACGACCAATGATGTATATAAACCCTGGATTGCTGATGCTATTTATTGGCCATTGAGAGGCTTTGAAGCCACCGGTCGGCCATATTGGAACTCCCCAGTAGGAGCAGTCCTCCATAGGTATGAATGGAATTCTACAGTATTTCAATTAAAATGTTTGAAGGACAAAATGACATGTATTTAAGTATTTTTGCTGATAAAAAAAAAAAAATTGTTTGTGACCGTGCTACAGATGGCCGTATCGGTCCGCTAATACAGGACTAGTAAAGTCCCATTCATTACTTTCGTGATTTTATTTGGATTTTCTATCCGATTTTTCTGGGAGCGCTGCAGCACGGTCAGCACCCGTACTTCCTCACCTCATTTTCTGACTTTGCTACGGGCACAGCCAAACAATGGAAGTCATGGATTCGACTTCTGCTTTTACTTCCTGTGGCAAACTTGCCACAGTAAATTATTTGAAGGAGTCAAAGTCAAGTAAACAAGTAGGAAGTGTAATTTTATATTAATATAAATTCAAGTTCGCTAACGTTAGCTAGACCTACTAGTAGGCTAGTTCCGTTGTGATAATAACGTTAGTTGTGTTCGTGTCCAGTGGCGTGTATTCATGAATGCCAAATATTTAGTGTCTATGGATTTCATAATTGTCATTCATTTCGCAAGAGGCTGAACGTATCTCACTGCAGAAAGCATCCGAGCAAGCGAAACAGCGCCCCCTCTCTGTCTGTATTTGTAGGCCATCTATCTGATGCTGTCTGGTCCAAAAGAGTTTGAAATTGTTTGCGCCCGTAGCGTTGAATGCAAGGGAAGCCAGCGAGCATTTGGCCTCGCTTGATAAAAAGAAATGTATAAAATAATAGCCAATCAGCTTTGAGCTAAACTGTGAATGGTCCTGATGCACTAAAAAAGTGTCAAGGGAAGCCAGTTTGGATTTAGCTTCACTCCTATCAAATCGCGTCAAGAGCATACCTCATTGACATCTTTTTTTTATTGGCCCTTTCCTAAATTAGCCATGGATGGAGATAGGGATTTGGACTTGTGGTTTTACTTAATTCTCTGTACTGGCCAATGATTATAATGGCGCTCCTGATCCAACCATTAATGAATCCATTGTGCCCCTGGACTGAGAGGATGGTAGTTCAATATACTGTATAACTAGATGTCCAAGGCTAATGTTTGCTAGCTAACATTGCCCATGAAAGGAAGTTAGGCTAGCGAGCAAGAATTTTAGCCAGGTTGCCTAGGACAACAAAAAATAAAAGCGTGTACTGTATGACAGAGTCGTAGACCGTTTCGTCAACATGAAAGAGAGGAGGATGGCGTTTCTCTACAAGTAGGGTGAGTCGACATCAGGGGCGGTGTGTTCATTAGGGCGATATGGGCGACACACTGCCAAACGGGAAAAGGAAGGGATTTTTTTCCTAATCAATTATATCACGGCAACAGTAGTTATCAGTGTTCTAATCTAGACGTCTGATCTGCCACTAAATGTCCAATCAGGCTAAAGTCGTGCTTCAAATGTCCCCGCCCGTTTTGGGGCGATTTCAGTCAGGTTGAAAATCGCCCAGAAGTCTCTCATAGCCTCTAATGTAAAATCAATTTTTTTCAAATATCAGAGCTTTCAATACAATCTCTATGGGTTTCTGAGGGCTTGCACTTACGCGCTTTCGTCATACGTAACATAACCATGAACGTAACTAAGAAAAGAGCGGGTAGCCTCATCAATCAATTCACTACTACTGTCAAAATGGCTAGCCTTCAGTGCAACTCGATTGTCTCTTTGAAAGAAGTTCCTTTTTGTCGGCGAACAAATCAAGATAAATTGGCAACGAAACAATTAGGACCTCCCAGACCAAATTTAATAATTCAACAGGTTTCTACTAAGCAGAGTCGTGAACACTGTCTACGAGAATCGAGACGACCTCATAGAATGTTTTGAAGCCATTCGGACGGGTTCATTGGGTTCATTTGACCAGCCCACCGTGAGAGAGGCATCTGGCTACGTGAGGATGCTACATGATGAAGATTTTATTTTTTTCCTGCTGCTTTTTCACAAAATCATGCCCCACGTCGACATTCTGTACCAGAAGCTACAGAAGAAGGACATCGATGCTGTCTTTATCAAACGTGCCCTCGACAGCTTCACAAGCAGTGTGCAGGCCATAAGGTAAGATTAAACAATATCATTCGATCTTTCTCAAAGCAGAGCTTTATTTGAAAATGTATGCATGAAAGGAGACTGCATTTGTGTTTGAAATGACATTATTCTCATTATATATGGCCAGTGGTGTAATCTAGCTTATTTTATATACTATGTGTACTGTACAGTGGTGCTCATAAGTGTATGAACACATTCTAAAGTTGACTAAAAAGAGGAATAAAAAAATAAAAAAAATCATCTTTTGGAAATTGATCTTAATGACTTAATTAAAAAAGTTAGAAAATCCAACCTTTAAGGACACCAATTTTCTTTTCTTTTTGATTCCTCTTTTTAGTCAACTTTAGCATGGGATCATAAGCTTATGAGCACCACTGTATACTGTGCTGAACATCCAGGCTATGTGAGACACAAAGGCTAACTTAAACACTAAAGACTTTATGCATCCCTGCCCATTTTAAGTGGAACTGAAGTATTTGTACTATACATGGATACATTGCATATACCTGTGCATCACATAGACAACAATACTGTACAAAGCCAACAAACACATTGGTCTGTTTGCCTTCAGGGACTCCTCTCAACAGCAGCTGCAAGAAGCAACAGGAGCCAAAAGACCCAGAACAGCTTTGAGAGAAGAGGAGAAGCAGAGGCTGTCTGAAGAGGTCTGCAACACCATCCTGGATCACACCAAAGAAAGGTTCTCTTTCTCTGGCCAGAATATGGTTGTTCATTTTTACAAAGCCATACAGATAGCTGTGTTTACCTTTTCTAGAAATTACTTTCAAATTCTGTTTTCAGGCAAAATGTCTATCACTGTTCATTTTCACAAATCTATACAAGAGGGCAGAATATGGAAGTCTATAAAAATGTCTTATTACCAATAACTTGCATCAATGTTTTCAGTAGCCTCTATCAAAAGCTCCTGCTTGCTTGTTGTGAATTATGCTCAGGTGCACATATTTCCAATTCAACCATGAGGCAAAAAATGTGGTAAAAGCTCTTGTTGATCCTGCAATCTGAACAAATACCAAGATGCTGTATTTTCAGCTGATATTTCATTTGTTTATGGAAATGCATATTGTTTATGCAGTGTTGAGGAATGTGAAAGAACACCCTTGATTATTTTTACTGTGATAACTTATTTTGATTTTGTAAGCCAACACTTTTGAGATCAGTCAATAAATGCTTCTGGTATTGACTTATATGCTGCCCCTGTCTTCATGTTGTTGCTGGACATATCTTTTTAAAAATGTGTGTAGGTCACCTAAATCATCAGAAAAATTGCCCCCCCTGAGAATTTTTTCAGGAGCCGCCACTGGTCGACATGTTTTTCTACTTGAATGAACGCACGCGCACACACAAATCAAAACCATGGACAGCCACATCATATTTAGCTTACGTTGATTGGACTAAATAGTTTTTGTTATCTTTTAGTTGTCACTGTACATCTTATTTGAAGTTGTAATGGGGCAGGAATAGTGGCGGCAGCTCCTGTTTTCTCTGCGACCTGCGGTAACTGTCCGTGGTTCTAAAATCAATAGTTGTCCAGTGGTCTGAAAACATGAACTTGCTTGACCATGCTGTAGGTCACGTAACTGTTTGTTACATGCAATAAGGCCTACGCTTCATGTACCTCACCAGATAGCGGTTGCTCTCCGGTTTTGTGATGAAACAAAAAGGTGTGTCTTCTTATTGTCTCGGCCTTTAGGCCTATATATCACAGTCGCAAGGCACATGAACTAACAGGTTATAGAGCAAACAACGCAATTATCACGACACATAAACTACATGACCATAAGTATGTGGACACCTGGTCGTCGAACATCTCATTCCAAAATCATGGGCATTAATATGGAGTTGGTCGTATGAAAATGTATGCACTCCCTAACTGTATGTCGCTCTGGATAAGAGCGTCTGCTAAAATGACTAAAATGTAAAATGTAAATGTCCCCCCCTTTGCTGCTATAACAGCCTCCACTCTTCTGGGAAGGCTTTCCACTAGATGTTGGAACATTGCTGCAGGGATTTGCTTCCATTCAGCCACAAGAGCATTAGTGAGGTCGGACACTGATGTTGGGCGATTAGGCCTGGCTCGCAGTCTGCGTTCCAATTCATCCCAAAGGTGTTCGATGGGGTTGAGGTCAGGGCTCTGTGCAGGCCAGTCAAGTTCTTCCATACCTATCTCGACAAACCATTTCTGTATGAACCTCGCTTTGTGCACGGGGGTATTGTCATGCTGAAACAGGAAAAGGCCTTCCCCAAACTGTTGCCACAAAGTGGGAAGCACAGAATCATCTAGAATGTATGCTGTAGTGTTAAGATTTCCCTTCACTGAAACTAAGGGGCCAAGCCTGAACCATGAAAAACAGCCCCAGACCATTATTCCTCCTCCACCAAACTTTACAGTTGTCACTATGCATTGGGGCAGGTAGCGTTCTCCTGGCATCCGCCAAACCCAGATTGGTCTGTCGGACTGCCAGATGGTGAAGCATGATTCATCACTCCAGAGAACGCGTTTCCACTGCTCCAGAGTCCAATGGCGGCGAGCTTTACACCACTCCAGCCGACACTTGGCACTGCGCATGGTGATCTTAGGCTTGTGTGTGGCTGCTCGGCCATGGAAACCCATTTCATGAAGCTGCCGACGAACAGTTCTTGTACTGGCGTTGCTTCCAGAGGCAGTTTGGAACTCGGTAGTGATTGTTGCAACCGAGGACAGACGATTTTTTTACGCACTACGCACTTCAGCACTCAGCTGTCCCGTTCTGTGAGCTTGTGTGGCCTACCACTTCGCGGCTGAGCCGTTGTTGCTCCTAGACGTTTCCACTTCACAATAACAGCCCTTACAGTTGACCGGGGCAGATCTAGCAGGGCAGAAATATGACGAACTGACTTGTTGGAAAGGTGGCATCCTATGACGGTGCCACGTTGAAAGACACTGAGCTCTTCAGTAAGGCCATTCTACTGCCAATGTTTGTCTATGGAGATTGCATGGCTGTGTGCTCAATTTTATACACCTGTCAGCAACGGGTGTGGCTGAAATAGCCGAATCCACTAATTTGAAAGGGTGTCCACATACTTTTGTATAATTTTTTTATCTGGCTTCCCCAGTAATTTTACCCGTAGCACATTTACATTTACATCATTTAGCAGTTGACACACTACTGGTTGTGTCAAGAGTTAACAGGCCTAGCTTTGCAGACAAGAAAAATAATTATATCTACAACACAGCGAGTACACAATATCAAGTGAGAACACAATATCAAGTGAGTACACAATATCAAGTGAGTACACAATTATTGTCCATAAGCTTTAAAATGCGGGGATGCAGGCTAATTTGAATAACCGCTCAAACATCCTGCTTCGTTTCATGCCGAAATAACTGAATAGGCCTACACCCTAGGCCTGATTTATGCAACCATTTGGATCAGTTTGAGACGACAGTGCATTCGGAAAGTATTCAGACCCCTTCACTTTTTCCGCATTTGGTTACGGCGTTATTCTAAAATTGATTAAATTATGTTTTTTCCTCATCAATCTACACAATACCCCATATTGACAAAGCGAAAACTGGTTTTTAGAAATGTTTGCAAATTTATAAAAAATAAAAAACAGTAATACCACATAAGTATTCAGACCCTTTGCTATGAGACTCGTTTCCATTGATCATCCTTGAGATGTTTGTACAACTTGATTGGAGTCCACCTGTGGTAAATTCAATTGATTGGACATGATTCGGAAAGGCTCACACCGGTCTATATAAAAGGTCCCATGTAGTCCCCTGTAGCTCAATTGGTAGAGCATGGCGCTTGCAATGCCAGGGTTGTGGGTTCGTTTCCCACGGGGGGCCAGTATGAAAATGTATGCACTCACTAACTGTAAGTAGCTCTGGACAAGCGCGTCTGCTAAATGACTAAAATGTTTTTGTTATATGTAAAAATAAATGTCCCACAGTTGACAGTGCATGAAAAAAAAAATGTATGCACTCACTAACTGTAAAGTCGCTCTGGATAAGAGCGTCTGCTAAATGACTAAAATGTAATGTCAGAGAAATAAACCAAGCCATGAGGTCGAAGGAATTGCCCGTAGAGCTCCGAAACAGGATTGTGTCAAGGCACAGATCTGGGGAAGGGTACCAAAAAATGTCTGCAGCATTGAAAGGCCAAGAACATAGTGGCCTCCATCATTCTTAAATGGAAGAAGTTTGGAACCACCAAGACTCTTCCTAGAGCTGGCCACCCGGCCAAACTGAGCAATCGGGGAGAAGGGCCTTGGTCAGGGAGGTGACCAAGAACCCGATGGTCACACTGACAGAGCTCAAGAGTTCCTCTGTGGAGATGGGAGAACCTTCCAGAAGGACAACCATCTCTGCAGCACTCCACCAAATCAGGCCTTTATGGTAGAGTGGCCAGACGGAAGCCACTCCTCAGTAAAAGGCACATGACAGCCCGCTTGGAGTTTGCCAAAAGGCACCTAAAGGACTCTCAGACCATGAGAAACAAGATTCTCTGGTCTGATGAAACCAAGATTGAACTCTTTGGCCTGAATGCCAAGTGTCACATCTGGAGGAAACCTGGCACCATCCCTACGGTGAAGCATGGTGATGGCAGCATCATGCTGTGGGGATGTTTTTCAGCTGCAGGGACTGGGAGACTAGTCAGGACCGAGGGAAAGATGAACGGAGCAAAGTACAGAGATATCCTTGATGAAAACCTGCTCCAGAGCGCTCAGGACCTCAGACTTGGCGAAGGTTCACCTTCCAACAGGAGAACAACCCTAAGCACACAGTCAAGACAACGCAGGAGTGGCTTTGAGACAAGTTTCTGAATGTCCTTGAGTGGCCCAGCCAGAGCCCGGACTTGAACCCGATCTAACATCTCTGTAGAGACCTGAAAATAGCTGTGCAGCAACGCTCCCCATCCAACTTGACAGACCTTGAGAGGATCTGCAGAGAAGAATGGGAGAAACTCCCCAAATACAGGTGTGCCAAGCTTGTAGCATCATACCCAAGAAAACTTGAGGCTGTAATCGCTGGTAAAGAAAGGTACATTAGCAGGCCACTCATATTATGTATTTTGTCAGGATGTAGCCCAGTGTTAAGATTGGACTATTGGAAAAGATGGGCTTCTCCTTTCCAACTACCCTGCCCGTTCTTAATGCTGTAGCCTATTTTACATCCAGCAAGCGTGCATCTCTCGTCTAATAGGCTAAAGAAAGTCGAAATAAGTGTCCAACAAGCTTTTGTAGTCTGGCTTTTCCTGGGCCTCTACAAGATTTAATTGGAATAGCCGTTGCAGTGGAGAGGCCAGGTGCGTAATTGCGCAACAGAACAAAGACAGACAGGCTCGACGTGTAGACTATAGCCTAAGTGAGAAGAGTATGCATATTAGGCCATAATTCACAAGCTCAATGTGATATTGTCCCTGGGTAGCAGCTCGAAAAGCTACCCTATTGTTTCAGTTATTTATTTAGGGACAAGAAATGTATCCTACCTAGGCTACAACAACACAATGTAATGATGAATGTTATTATTGTTATCAAGTGGGTACAAAACTTTAGTCTAGGCTGTAAACTGCAGTGAATAGCCTAAGTGATTTTGGCGTTTTGAATGTATATTCATTTCGAAATAACTGCATGCCTGATTGGGCAACCATTTGGATCAGTTATGGGCTTTTTCACACGGCAGTTTAGCCTACAAGGTCCAGGCATATTAGCAGGCCAGTAATATCGTGTATTTTCTTCAGGATGTATCAGCTAGCAGAAAATGAAAATGAGGTGGATAGCTTCCAAAATATTTTGTTACACCGGTGAGGTAGTGCCAAGATGGCGGCACAGTGGGTTCAACACAGCGCCCCCAACAGTCATCTAGTGTGTATATAAATCATTGGTCACGATTTCTTGTTAGCAAAAACATTGAACACCTAATTAGCTATCTAGATGCAATGAAGTAACTCACCAAGACAAATGAGAGAGTTGACGGATGTCGCCTCTCCACAGACCCCTCGGGAATCAGCCCACACGGTGTTGCATTGTCCACAATGGAAAGTCACTGGATTCTCGACGATGGCTTGGTTCACTGACTCATTCTCCAGCTTTTGGTCATCTGTTTCGCAGGACAGAAATGACTCAAAATCATACATTTTTTAAATGTATTTTCTTTCAAATGTCACGTTGTTGTTCAACTTCAGTGATAACCGCTTCTGTTACTTTCAAGTGTCTTATGTGGTTCTTTTTTCCCGTGGTTTTATCGCCATCTAGCGGAGAACCTAGGTGCCAACGGGAATATTTGTTGATTGGTCGCAAGGTACTTCCGTATACATCTGCCAGCCAATCAAATGGCCTATACTCCAATTTTTTGAACCTCCGCATTTTAACGGTCAGGCGCGAAAGATACATTTAGTTGACTGTGTGTGTGTAGCGTTACTCGGTCAATAAACAGGAGCTGATTCATAAAACGAGTTCCAGTGGCACTGGCAAGCACATTGTTTTTTTTATTAAGCTAAAACAAGAAAAATGGACTTGGATTCCATGAAGTATGCCGAATTGCGCAGTCTTGCCAAGGAGGTTGGGCTCAAATCCTCAAAACTGAAGGTAAATCGCAAACGATAGTTAAGAGTTATTGCATTGGGTTGTTTGTTTGTGTTGCGAGTGGTTAGTTAGTTAGTTACAATACCTAACGTTAACCAGATAGCTAGCTAACTAGCTATTATCCAGCTCGTTTGTTATGCAGTGTACCTTGCTAACTGTGTTCGACCTGTGTCCACTGCTACACAGGCTGATAAGCTTCTGAAGGCGCTCAAGGAGCATTTCCAGCAACAACAAACGCAGGAAGATGTTGCAGTGGACGTAAGTTCTGGCTTGAAGCTCCCTCCCTCTTCTGTTCAAACGATCACACTTCAAACATGAAATGCTATGTATATTTTTTGATTCCTCTTTAGCTTGCTTTGTTTCTTTATGTCTGTAGATAGATCTGTTTTGCAATGTCATTGTAATTATTGCTAGTAATAGCAAACCTCTGATGGTCGTGTATTTAGCAGGGAGTTGAGACTGGCGTTGATGCACAGGATAACACGGTTAACAGTAACTCAACCCAGGATGACAGCAATTCGGCACATGTTGATGAGCTTTCACCAAAACCTCCAGCTCAGGAGTTTGTGACCAAACGTCGTTGTAGAGGGCAACGGAGGACGAGGAAGGAGCCTGAAGATGAGGAGGCAGAGTGTGAGCCAGCCAGAGCGCCACTCAAACCAGCCGAGGTATGGGACCACTAGGAAAATGAATGTATGCACACACTATTGGAAGTCGCTTTGGAATAAGTGCATCTGCTAAATGACTAAAATATAAGAGGTGTGAGAAGACATAGAGAAGTGTTTTAATGCACTGAAATAGTGCTGTGCATGTACCTCTGTCAACCCAAAAAAATGCATTTTTGCTTTACATTTATCGAGGAATAGCAAGCTAAAGTAGTGTTTTCAATATAGGTTGTTAACAAGGTGACTGAATCCATCATCGGCAAAGGCAGTGCCAAGAGAAGGAGGGTGTCTGCCGTTAAGGATTCTGGGGTGGCTGTGCCACCATCAGTGGAAGGGTCACAAGACGCCAACGTTGAGACACAGCCTGACTCCGAACACAAAGTTGCAGCAGTGATGTTTGGTTAGTCTGGAAGACTCTAAAGGCCATGATGATTTTTTTTAGACTTATTTTTTTTGCAGAAGTCTTATGTGGTTGTGTCCCTGTCCTTTTTTGTTTATGAAATAGGTGACTACATGAGCATCAACTCTGGGTTTTAATAATCTTATTATTGATCACGTTCTCATATTGCTTTGCACAGGAGAGGGACAGAAGGTGGTGAAACCAGTAGGAAAGATCCCTCGCCATGAGGGGCTCCTGAAGAGGACTAAACCTATGCTGAAGCCTACTACACCAAGTTAGTCATCTGAATTATATTTGCTGTAGCTACATGATCTAAAACATGTACAAACTCTCAGTTCTGTCATTTAAAATACTAATAACCACTTTCTATTTTAGACTTCAGAAAACTCCACGAGGAGCATTTCAAAAGGATGGAGTCAATTGATTCATACGTGGAAAGGAAGACCAAGCAAATGGGTTCGTTCAGAAATTCAGTGAATGAATTGAAGGTAATGAATTGTATATAACGTTATAGTGGAGATCGTTGGGATCTGGCCATGGTGTGGTTTTCATTTAAATATTAAGCCCAACAATGAAACATTGTTTTATTGTAGTCATCATTTATACATTTTGCAAGTAGTTAACTATAAACACTCTCTTTATTCTTCAGGTTCTTTCAGATAAGACTCTTTTGAAACCAACGGAAGGAAAAACTCAAGCAGTAAGTAGACTTTTTTTGGTTTCCATAGTTGTAAAAAGTGAAGTACTACAACCAATGAAACATTTTCCCTTTCAAATGTAAAACCAGATGGCTATTTTGAGAGGGATGATCCCAAATCATCCCAAAATCATCATCCCAAAACATCCCAAAATATGGTGATTGGTGTGGTCAATGTATTGATGTGTTTTTGCAGAGCTCAACCTCGAGCCGTGCCCCCCTGTTCAGCCCTGCATCCCAGAAACCAGCTACAGACAGACACAGACTTACCCAGGTCTCTGCCAGCAAGCCTGCTACCGACAAACGCAGACTCTCGGCCAGAAAACACCCCCAGAAGGACACTGTTGTCCCATTCAGACCCACAGTCCTGTCTGCTCGCCGGATCAACGTTCGGTGAGACACTCAAACATTATTTGTCTGAGTATTCCTGAGTATTTTAGCAGTGCTGAAGCTTCTAGGTGTCTATGTTGATTTACCACTTCTGATTGAACATTCACATCATTACACAAGATGCACTGTCATGAGTTGCTAACTGGCTTAGTTCAGGTGACAACTATGTATTGACATTTCTTTGGGAAGGATTTAGCTACTTCTGAATACTATTGTCAGTTTGTGGAATGAAACTGTATATAGTCAGTCCAACTGTTGGTTTGTGTACAGGTTCTCTCAGGCTACTCAGGATAATGAGCACAAGAGGTCCATGGTGAAGACGCCAGCACGCATGTCAACCCGCGTGGACCTCCTCACTCCTGGGAAAGAGACTAAAGTTGGAGGGAAACTTGAAGTCAACAAGACCTTTGTCCTCTCCAGCACTAAGACCCCAGGTAACTATACTGAACAAAAATATAAACACAACATGTAAAGTGCTGGTCCCATGTTTCATGAGCTGAAATAAGATCCCAGAAATGTTCCATCCAAGCTTATTTCTCTCAAATGTTGTGCTGAAATTTGTTTACATCCCTGTTAGTGAGCATTTCTCCTTTGCCAAGATAATCCATCCACCTGACAGGTGTGGCATATCAAGAAGCTGATTAAACAGCATAATTACACAGGTGCACCTTGTGCTGGGGACAATAAAAGGCCACTCTAAAATGTGCAGTTTTGTCACGCAAACCACTGCCACAGATGTCTCAAGTTGAGGGAGCGTGCAATTGGCTTGCTGACTGCAGGAATGTCCACCAGAGCTGTTACCAGAGAATTGAATGTTCATTTCTCTACCATAAGCCGCCTCCATTGCTTTAGAGAATTTGGCCGTATGTAAAAATGTGGCAGTATGTCCAACCCGGCCTCACAACCGCAGACCACATGTAACCACGCCAGCCCAAGGACCTCCACATCCGGCTTCTTCACCTGCGGGATCGTCTGAGACCAACCACCCGCACAGCTGATGACATTTCTGTTTGTAATAAAGCCCTTTAGTGGGGAAAAACTCATTCTCATTGGCTGTGCCCATGGCTGTGCCCCTGCCCAGTCATATTAAATCCATAGATTAGGGCCAAATTAATTTATTTCAATTGACTGATTTCCTTATAGGAACTGTAACTCAGTAAAATCTTGAAATTGTTGCGTTTTGTATTTCTGCCTAATATACATCCTGCTAAATGTAGATTAATTTAAGTAGTCTTTACTTGTTTTTTTCTATGCACTGAATGTATCCCTTACTGGCTTTTATTTTCTTTATTTTATTCAGCGTTTGTGTTTAATGCAAACACCAGTGTTCTTTTTAACTCTCCTGAAACCAACAAGAAGGCCAACTTTGATCTGAAGGCCAGTCTCTCTAAACCTCTCTCCTATAAGCCTCATAAGGGTAAGATATGTCACCATTCAGATTCTGACTGTATACCAGCGCATTCAGCACGAGCCTGGTTGTCTGTAGGCTAATAAAAACATTTATTTTAGTGGTCATCGTTTCTGGTCTGCCTGTATAGGAAAGCTGAAGCCATTCGGAGTGACCAAAGAGAACACAGTGGACCAATCTATGACCAGCCAGTCTATGACCGTTCCCTCCCACCAGAAGAACTACAAACAGCATCAGGTTCAGACAAGGTCAGTATCCGGAACAACCGGTTAAAAGTGGAGGGGGGGAAATGTATTGAATTCCTGGCTCTTTCTCAATTCACCTTTCCTTGATTCCTCAAAACATTATTGGAGAGGAATGTCTGAGAGAAGGGACTTTGGACCTTGTCCTCCATCCACAAGATGGCGCCGACAGACTCTGCTTCTAGCTCATAAGCAACGTTTATTTTGGATGTTATTTCTTACATTATTAGCCCAGAACGTTTTTTTGTGTTATTACATTCAGCCGGAAATAACTTTTGGATATCGGAGCGGCGGTAACTCACCAGCGTTACGACCAGAAATACAACTTTCACGAATTGGATGCTTTGCTCGTACCCCCCAGGGCAATTGAACTTATCCCAGAGGCTGCTCCAAGACGCCTCCGGCAGAGAAGAGGTATTCGGAGTGGACTTCTAGTCCGACACCATCTACCAGAGGGAGAAAAAAAACTCTAGATCACCTTTACTCCACACACAGAGACGCGTACAAAGCTCTCCCTCGCCCTTGATTTGGCAAATCTGACCATAATTATATCCTCCTGTTTTCTGCTTACAAGCAAAAACTAAAGTAGGAAGCACCAGTGACTCAGTCAATCAAGAAGTGGTCAGATGACGCAGATGCTAAGCTACAGGACTGTTTTGCTAGCACAGACTGGAATATGTTCCGGGATTCTTCCGATTGCATTGAGGAGTACACCACCACAGTCACTGGCTTCATCAATAAGTGCATCGATGACGTCGTCCCCAGTGACCGTACGTACATACCCCAACCAGAAGCCATGGATTACAGGCAACATCCACACTGAGCTAAGCGGTAGAGCTGCCGCTTTCAAGGAGCGGGAGACTAACCCGGACGCTTATAAGAAATCCCGCTATGCCCTCCAACGAACCATCAAACAGGCAAAGCGTCAATACAGGACTAAGATTGAATTGTACTACACCGGCTCCGACGCTCGTCGGATGTGGCAGGGCTTGCAAACTATTACAGGCTACAAAGTTAAGCACAGCCACGAACTGCCCAGTGACACGAGACTACCAGACAAGCTAAATTACTTCAAAGCTCGCTTAGAGGCAAACAACACTGAAGCATGCATGAGAGCATCAGGTGTTCTGGACGACTGTGATCACGCTCTCCGTAGCCGATGTGAGTAAGACCTTTAAACAGGTCAACATTCACAAGGCCGCAGGGCCAGACGGATTACCAGGACATGTACTCCGAGCATGCGCTGACCAACTGGCAAGTGTCTTCACTGACATTTTCAACCTATCCCTGACTGAGTCTGTAATACCAACATGTTTCAAGCAGACCACCATAGTCCCTGTGGCCACTAAGGTAACCTGCCTAAATGTCTGCCCTTTCCCAGCTGGACAAAAGGAACAACTATGTGAGAATGCTATTCATTGACTACAGCTCAGCGTTCAACACCATAGTGCCCTCAAAGCTCATCACTAAGCTAAGGACCCTGGGACTAAACACCTCCCTCTGCAACTGGATCCTGGACTTCCTGACCGGCCTCCACTACAGCCCCGTTGATGAGAATGAGGGCGTGCTCGGTCCTCCTTTTCCTGTAGTCCACAATCATCTCCTTTGTCTTGGTCACGTTAATGATGGTGTTTTGAGTCGTGCTTGGCCATGCAGTCATGGGTGAACAGGGAGTACAGGAGGGGACTGAGCACGCACCCCTGAGGGTCCCCCGTGTTGAGGATCAGCGTGGCGGATGTGTTGTTGCCTACCCTTACAACCTGGGGGCGGCCCGTCAGGAAATCCAGAATCCAGTTGCAGAGGGGGGTGTTTAGTCCCAGGGTCCTTAGCTTAGTGATGAGCTTTGAGGGCACTATGGTGTTGAACGGTGAGCTGTAGTCAATTAATAGCATTCTCACGTAGGTGTTCCTTTTGTCCAGGTGGGAAAGGGCAGTGTGGAGTGCAATAGAGATTGCATCATCTGTGGATCTGTTGGGGCGGTATGCAAATTGGAGTGGGTCTAGGGTTTCTGGGATGATGGTGTTGATGTGAGCCATGACCAGCCTTTCAAAGCACTTCATGGCTACAGACGTGAGTGCTACGGGTCGGTTTATAGGGGATGTTGTTCCCACTGTGACTATTAAAACCTACCCATACCAAAAACCGTGGCTAGATGGCAGCAGTCGCGCAAAACTGAAAGCGCAAACCACCGCATTTAAGCAAGGTGACTGGGAATATGGTTGAATACAAACAGTCCTGTTATGCCCTCCGTAAGGCAATCAAACAGGCAAAACGTCAGTACAGAGACAAAGTGGAGTCGCAATTCAACGGCTCAGACACGAGACGTATGTGGCTACAGGGTCTCCAGACAATCACAGATTACAAAGGGAAAACCAGCCACGTCGCGGACATCGACGTCTTGCTCCCAGACAAGCTAAACACCTTCACCGCTTTGAGGATAACACAGTGCCACAGACGCGGCCCCGCTCCCAAGGGCTGTGGGCTCTTGTTCTCCGTGGCCGACGTGAGCAAGACGTTTAAGCGTGTTAACCCTCGCAAGGTTGCCGGCCCAGACGGAATCCCTGGTCGCGTCCTCAGAGCATGCGCAGACCAGCTGGCTGGAATATTCTGACATATTCAATCTCTCCCTATCCCAGTCTGCTGTGCCCACTTGCTTCAAGATGTCCACCATTGTTCCTGTATCCAAGAAAGCAAAGGTAACTGAACTAAATGACTATTGCCCTGTAGCACTCACTTCTGTCATCATGAAGTGCTTTGAGAGACCATGACGAGACCGCCTACAGGGAGGAGGTGAGGGCCCTGGCGGAGTGGTGCCACGAAAATAACCTCTCCCTCAACAAAACGAAGGAGCTGATCGTGGACTTCAGGAGACAGCAGAGGGAGCACGCCCCTATCCACATTGACGGGACCGCAGTGGAGAAGGTAAAAGGCTTCAAGTTCCTCGGAGTATTGACAATCTGAAATGGTCCACCCACACACTGTGGGGAAGAAGGCGCAACAGCGCCTCTTCAACCTCAGGAGGCTGAAGAAATTCGTCTTGGCCCAACTTTGACAGACGCACAATTGAAAGCATCCTGTCAAGCTGTATCACCGCCTGGTACGGCAACTGCACCGCCCGCAACCGCAGGGCTCTCCAGAGGGTGGTGCGGTCTGCCCAACGCATCACCGGGGGCACACTGCCTGCCCTCTAGGACACCTACAGCACCCGGTGTCACAGGAAGGTCAAAAAGATTATCAAGGACATCAACCACCCGAGCCACTGCCTGTTCACCCCGCTATCATCCAGAAGGAGAGGTCAGTACAGGTGCATCAAAGCTGGGACCGAGAGAATGAAAAACAGCTTCTATCTCAAGGCCATCAGGCTGTTAAATAGCCATCACTAATAATGTGTATATACTGTATTCTACTGTGTTTCAGTCAATGCCACTCCGACATTACTCATCCTAATATTTATATATTTCTTAATTCCATTCATTTACTTTTTTAGATGTGTGAATTGTTAGATACTACTGCACTGTTGGAGCTAGGAACACAAGCATTTCGCTACACCTGCAATAACATCTGCTAAATATGTGTATGTGACCAATAACATTTTGATTTGATAAGGAGATGAGGAATCAAGGAAAGACTGAGATTGAGAGCCTCTGTTTTGAAACTTGTTTTCTCTCCGAATGGCTTGGATGTATAACCTGTTATGTTGATTTCCCTATTGCTTTTATTCCAGGGAGGAAAGGAGGACAAAACAGACTGAAGTCAGGAAGCGGAAGAAAGAGGAGATGCTTGGAGCCAGACGAGGCCTCGCCTTGACCTGATTATTCTACACTTTTACTCTTGTGAAGTTTAAACCGTGTTATTTCAGACCTGCTGATTTGATGCCTGTCCCCTTTTTGACGAAGAATAGTCCCACTTTCTCTACCTTTTCCTCTGTTCTACTTTGACTTTCAGTTCCAACCTGTTTTATGATTGTTCGATTTTAGAAACACCTAACAACTTTTTTAATAAACGTTTTTTATTAACTTAGTATGGTACAAATAATGTTGAATCTTTTGTATACCAGTGTCATTGGTAGACATTTACATTACATTTTAGTCATTTAGCAGACGCCCTTATCCGGAGCGACTTAAAGTAGCGAGTGCGTACATTTTTGTACGTTTTTTTTAATCTTCACCGTACTGGCCCCCCGTGGGAATCGAACCCACAACCCTGATGTTGTAAGCGCCATGCTATACAACTGAGCCACACAGGACCATAGTCTAAAATGTTGTACAGTTTGGTCATATCTAATTCATGTGAATTGTATGTTGTTGTTTTTTTTATACCATTTTCGAACATAGCTCATGTAAAGCCAATGTAAATACCGGTAGTAAAAAAAAAAATCTGTTCCTAAAGTAGTGTAACGTTTTTTATTGAGGACTTGGTGGGTGATGCTTGTTGTCCTCGGTCTTCAGGGGTCCTCTTGTATACCTCGTATGCAGACTCCTCTGTGTGCGCGCGATCGTTAGGTGGCTATGAAATCAATCTCCAGTTGAAACGGACCATCGGCCTTATCACTCAACATGATTCCAATGGTGTTGACTTAAGAACAGAAGAGCAGGCATTAGAATTGAGTTAGCATAGAATCCTTTTGTCTGTTTACTTGCTTGTATGCTTCTCAATTAACATATTTGAAACAGAATTTTGTTAGCATAGCAAGTAAATCGTGATACCTCCCTTCTGCAATGTAGTACCGTAAGAAAATCCATTGATACCTTGTCTAACCAGAGGGGGTTTTGATCACATTGTATCCTACCGTGACTAGAGGGAAGTATTTTGAGCATGGAATTTGTAAAGGAGTGATCATATGTTAGTCTTTTGACCCGAACATATTAGATCACACAGTGATACCAGAAATACAAGTACTTAGCGTTGTCCCAGATGTGTTAGTGCTGTCATGTCAACTCCTTTGGCATGAAGGCACAAACAGACTGGTACCCAGGTTAATATGTACTGTGTGGGACTCAAACCACTGAAGACAGTTCAGTACTCAAATGAAAAGAGACCTGGCTATACTGTATCTTGCCAGTAAGGCCCTCCCCATTTGTACAGGAAGTAACTGTACATGTCATCCTTTTTTATTTTTTATTTATTTCACCTTTATTTAACCAGGTAAGCCAGTTGAGAACAGGTTCTCATTTACAACTGCGACCTGGCCAAGACAAAGCAAAGTAGTGCAACAAAAACAACACAGAGTTACATATGGGGTAAAAAAAAAACATAAAGTCAGAAATACAACAGAAAATATATATACAGTGTGTGCAAATGTAGCAAGTTATGGAGGTAAGGCAATAAATAGGCTATAGTGCAGAATAATTACAATAGTATTAACACTGGAATGCTAGATGTGCAAGAGATTATGTGCAAATAGAGATACTGGGGTGCAAAAGAGCAAATTAAATAACAATATAGGGATGAGGTAGTTGGGTGGGCTAATTTCAGATGGGCTGTGTACAGGTGCAGTGATCGGTAAGGTGCTCTGACAACTGATGCTTAAAGTTATTGAGGGAGATAAGAGTCTCCAGCTTCAGAGATTTTTGCAATTTGTTCCAGTCATTGGCAGCAGAGAACTGGAAGGAATGGCGGCCAAAGGAGGTGTTGGCTTTGGGAATGACCAGTGAGATATACCTGCTGGAGCGCAGACTACGGGTGGGTGCTGCTATGGTGACCAATGAGCTAAGATAAGGCGGGGATTTGCCTAGCAGTGATTTATAGATGGCCTGGAGCCAGTGGGTTTGACGACGAACATGTAGTGAGGACCAGCCAACAAGAGCGTACAGGTCACAGTGGTGGGTAGTATATGGGGCTTTGGAGACAAAACGGATGGCACTGTGATAGACTACATCCAATTTGCTGAGTAGAGTGTTGGAGGCTATTTTATAAATGACATCGCCGAAGTCAAGGATCGGTAGGATAGTCAGTTTTACGAGGGCATGTTTGGCAGCATGAGTGAAGGAGGCTTTGTTGCGAAATAGGAAGCTGATTCTAGATTTAACTTTGGATTGGAGATTCTTTATGTGAGTCTGGAAGTTGAGTTTACAGTCTAACCAGACACCTAGATATTTGTAGTTGTCCACATACTCTAGGTCAGACCCGTCGAGAGTGGTGATTCTAGTCGGGTGGGCGGGTGCTAGCAGCGTTCGATTGAAAAGCATGCATTTAGTTTTACTAGTGTTTAAGAGCAGTTGAAGGCTACTGAAGGATTGTTGTATGGCATTGAAGCTCGTTTGGAGGTTTGTTAACACAGTGTCCAATGAAGGGCCAGATGTATACAAAATGGTGTCGTCTGCGTAGAGGTGGATCTGAGAGTCACCAGCAGCAAGAGCGACATCATTGATATACACGGAGAAAAGTGTCGGCCCAAGAATTGAACCCTGTGGCACCCCCATAGAGACTGCCATAGGTCCAGACAACAGGCCCTCCGATTTGACACACTGAACTCTATCTGAGAAGTAGTTGGTGAACCAGGCGAGGCAGTCATTTGAGAAACCAAGGCTATTTAGTCTGCCAATAAGAATGCGGTGGTTGACAGAGTCGAAAGCCTTGGCCAGGTCGATGAAGACGGCTGCACAGTACTGTCTATTATCAATCGCGGTTATAATATCGTTTAGGACCTTGAGCGTGGCTGAAGTGCACCCGTGACCAGCTCGGAAACCGGATTGCATAGCGGAGAAGGTACGGTGATATTCGAAATGGTCGATGATCTGTTTATTAACTTGGCTTTCGAATACTTTCGAAAGGCAGGGCAGGATGGATATAGGTCTGTAGCAGTTTGGATCTAGAGTGTCACCCCCTTTGAAGAGGGGGATGACCGCGGCAGCTTTCCAATCTCTGGGGATCTCAGACGTTATGAAAGAGAGGTTGAACAGACTAGTAATAGGGGTTGCGACAATTTCGGCGGCTAGTTTTAGGAAGAAAGGGTCCAGATTGTCTAGCCCAGCTGATTTGTAGGGGTCCAGATTTTGCAGCGCTTTCAAAACATCAGCTGTCTGAATTTGTGTGAAGGAGACGCGGGGGGGGCATGGGCAAGTTGCAGCAGAGGGTGCAGAGTTGGTGGCCGGGTTAGTGGTAGCCAGATGGAAAGCATGGCCAGCTGTAGCAAAATGCTTGTTGAAATTCTCGATTATTGTAGATTTATCGGTGGTGATAGTGTTTCCTAGCCTCAGTGCAGTGGGCAGCTGGGAGGAAGTGCTCTTATTCTCCATGGACTTTATAGTGTCCCAAAACTTTTTGGAGTTAGTGCTACAGGATGCAAATTTCTGTTTGAAAAAGTTAGCCTTTGCTTTCCTGACTGCTTGTGTATATTGGTTCCTAACTTCCCTGAAAAGTTGCATATCGCGGGGGCTATTTGCATATCGCGGGGGCTAATGCTGTACGCCACAGGATGTTTTTGTGCTGGTCAAGGGCAGTCAAGTCTGAGGAGAACCAGGGGCTATATCGGTTCTTAGTTCTGTATTTTTTGAATGGGGCATGTTTATTTAAGATTGAGAGGAAATTACTTTTAAGGAACAACCAGGCATCCTCTACTGACGGAATGAGATCTATATCCATCCAGGATACCTGGGCCAGGTCAATTAGGAAGGCCTGCTCACTAAAGTGTTTTAGGGAGCGTTTGACAGTGATGAGGGGTGGTTGTTTGACCGCGGACCCGTTACGGACGCAGGCAATAAGGCAGTGATCGCTGAGATCCTGGTTGAAGACAGCTGAGGTGTATTTAGAGGGTATGTTAGTCAGGATGATATCTATGAGGGTACCCATGTTTAAGGATTTAGGGTTGTACCTGGTAGGTTCGTTGATAATTTGCGTGAGGTTGAGGGCATCTAGCTTGGATTGTAGGATGGCTGGGGTATTAAGCATATCCCAATTTAGGTCACCAAGCAGTACAAACTCAGAGGATAAATGGGGGGCAATCAATTCACATATGGTGTCCAGGGCACAGCTGGGGGCTGAGGGGGGTCTGTAGCAAGCGGCAACAGTGAGAGACTTATTTCTGGAAAGGTGGATTTTTAGAAGTAGAAGCTCAAACTGTTTGGGCACAGACCTGGATAGTATGATAGAGCTCTGCAGGCTATCTCTACAGTAGATTGCAAATCCTTCTGGTGGGAGAAGTAAGTCCCGGCACCGACGTTGATCATCCATGGACACCCGGCACCACAGATGTGCAGGGTGTTGAAACTGGACCAATCATGATGCTTACTGTCAAACGGACCCTGTAAAAACCAGGTTTAGGGTTAACATAATAAATGGATACTTTAAAACTAATTCTGTAACATGAAAGGACATGCTCATCGTTTGGGGAGGAAAGACTAGCCTGAGTGCCAGTCTGTCTGCGATCATGCCAAGTTGTTGTCCCTCAGTCATTCCATAAGGAGTTGGCAAGAGAGCAGAAACAGCCTGGGCACCCAGGCTACATTTAAGACAGCATTATTCACTAACCATGGGCACCCAGGCTACATTTAAGACAGCATCATTCACTAACCATGGGCAGCTTGGAGTGCAGTATCCACTATAACGTGTCACTCCATCCCTGGGGGGGAGCAGAGCAGAGTTCCACACACCAGATATGTAGCATTGTTCTTGCCCAGCTTCAGATGGCTCTCTGGCCCTCTAAACTCCTAGATCACTCTGGTCTGCTCCAGAATGTGTTCAACCAGTTGTTTCCACTCCGGCCCTGTCCAGCAGCCCAGAAACTCATTCTTCATCAGGGTAAAATGCTTCCTCATCCCCTGCACTATTTTTTGGAAGTCAAACTTCTTCCAGATAGGGGTGTTGTCCTGTGTCTGGCCTGGATGTCTGTACTCTCCCCCAGATACGGTCCTACATCCCACAGACAGCTGAGGGCCCCCGGGATGAAGAGTCTCTGTAGCCAGGAGCCCAGAAACCTTACTGCTGGGGTGAAATGTGTAGCCCTTGACATGGCCATGATAGGTAATCCTGGTGTTGAGAAAAAGACAAAAAATAGGTTTTCAAGTCGTGACTGTCAATATGATCAAATAAAACGCATCAGCCAGGGCATTCTCATGTTCTTAGCCATAGGTATCCCTTGACCATGACTCAGTTCCATTACATTACACATAAGAGTCATAGGATGAAGGTGTCTTCTGTATGTGGGTGTTTTGTTAAGAGTCCCAGCGCTTGATCCGAACAGTAACACGAATCGCTTGCGGTACGGGGTTGGAAGCACAAGGATCTTTCATATCAGCAAAAAAAAAACCTTAAATTGATAAACACCTTTATGGGGCTAGGGTTCCCACACCGCCATATTTCGATGTTACAGCGCTTGTTTATGGAAAACAGACGGAAGACAGGGTGGACTATCTGTGCTTATAGCTATCTACGTCTCAGAACACCTGTGTGTAAACGGAAGACGGTGTTGTCACTGAAAAATACTGTCGGCTGCAACTGTGTTAAAAGCGGTTAAAACAGTGTACAGTAAGTGTTTATTTTGCATTTATGAATGTAGTTTGGATGTGATATGAAACTAGAAGGATTTATGTTTCTAGAACCATACCGCAATTGAGAATCGATTCACGTTTAGATAGAGCCAATTCACCTTTAAACAGAACATGTAAGGTCCTTGGACTAGAAGGAGTAACGTTAGGCTCCTTTGGTCCATCATTGGGCTAAGCAATAGGTAGATGGTCACATCAACATTTTGTAGCAGGGCATTCTGGTTCATAGCCACGACGACAAGCTATTTGATGAAGTGAATCACCGAATGTACACTATCAATAAGCTAGTTTTGACAGTACATAGCAAGAACCTCGATGTAGTTACTTACTCAACGACCAACGTTACACAGTGACTGATGGCTTTAGCTAGCCAGCTAATTTTGCCGGTTGGATCTGTCTTTGTGAATTGATTTAGAACTGGCCTTTTGTTAGATTACATTGTGTTCATCACTCACAGCGTAGAATACATATGATAACATGTGTACCACATACTTATACATGTGTAATCATTTTTGAAAGAAACGTGTAGTTCCCATGTCCAATGTTGTGGTCCGTGCAGATGAACTTCCTCCCTGGAATCACGGCTGGTATTTTCCGTTCCGCTAGTTTTGTTGTTGTTGCGCGGTTTGTCATTGAGACGCATGCCCAGTGGTACTCTAGCGCAGGATTGCGGCGCTAACTACCGCCGTTTCGCACACACGGGTAGCCGAGCTAGTCAAACTAGCTCATCATGGTGAATGTAAAGAAGCGGAAAGGTCGAGTCGTTATCGACTCTGACTCTGAAGACAGCGCTAGTGATGATAATTTAGATCAGGTGAGGATGCACCTTGTCTGGTTTGAATTTGTTTACCGCTAGCGGGGTTGACAACTGGATAAGAACAGTTTGGGTTAGCTGGCTAGCTAGCTTGCTAGCTAATGTTTAGCGTGCTGGCTGTGCCTTGAGTTTGGAGGAAAACACCGCGCCGTAGGCCTGAAGTTTTATTGGCTTCATTTAAATCCCAGTATAATATCCTGTGGGCAACATTTAATCTAATGTGTTGTTGTGATCATTTGGTAATCAAAGACTACAGTGACCTTCGGATTTATAACGTTATCTCCTGCATGACTAAAGTTCTATATTGGTGTTGACAAAACAGTTAGCTAGCTAGCTAACCACACGCTAAAGTTAGCTTCGGAGGGAACGTGTTGAAAGGTAACCTGTCATGTTACTTATTTTACAGCCAATATTGTGCTATGAAAACACGCCAATCGTAGATTTTAACATCACGTAACTTGCCGCTTTGAAGTTGCTAACTAGCTAGTTGGCTAGTTATCTTTGCTACCTTGGTGTTAAACCTAATACTAGTTAGCTAGCAGCTAGTTAATGTCATAATGCTGGTGTCGGTAGGTAACAATTCGGCCTGTTGGGGAAACGTAGAAACAAAACATAAACAAACATAGCTACAATTAAAAATTTAGACAAACTTCAACAGAGAGATCTTATTACCCAATGATGTCTCATTAGTTATTTACACAGCACCATATTGAAATACAATAAGTTAAGTTGCACACTATAAAATCAAAGACAACATAATAAAAGTGAGTGACTGATAAACTATGAATAATTTACCGCTACAGTACTGTAATGCTTCCTAACATTGCAGCAGCCACTAAATATGCTGTAAAGGAGATTGTCAGTCAACTGAAAGGTTTCCTTTACACGTCAGCTGTCCCCTGAGCAAACCATGCAGCATTCATCTTGTGAAAATCTATCCATATTAACTATTGATCTATGTTGTTACAGGATGTCAGTTCCTCCACTATTGTGCCTATTTGTATTTAGACTATCTTTATAACAACATCTATATCGTAACATTAATATGTGCTCCTCCACTTTGGCCTCTGTTTCCCCAATCACTGTAAATTCACTCACCCCATGATTTAAACTCACCTCTCTGCTTTGTCTCTCTCACCCTGTGGCCCCCCAGGAGCTCCTGTCTCTGGCCACCAAGAGGAAGAGGGTGGACTCAGACGACCAGCAGGACGACCAGCATGACGACCAGCAGGATAACCAGCCAGTCAGCAAGCCTGCAGCCTCATCAGACTCTGAGACATCAGACAGTGATGATGAGGTATGTCACGGTGATGTCCTCTCTCCATATAGTTTGATCTTCTTAGGGCTGGTTTCCCGGACTAAGAAGCATTCCCAATGTAGGGTCACCTTTAAAAATAACTTCTTAATCCCAGACTAGGCTTAATCTGTGTCCAGGAAACCAGCCCTTACAGTAGTGGTATGAAAGAGACACGGTATTGGTTAACATACTTTCATACAGTCCTTGATACGTCACGTGATAATGTTCTGTTTTTTGTGTTGTTTTCACATAGTGGACCGCCGGTGGTCCTAAAGTAAAGAAGAAGGTCAAGCCAGGGAAACCGACGGCAACAGAAAAGAAGAGAGAGGCAGCGAAGAAGAGGGTTCATAAAGATGCATCGTCCGGAAGTTCTGACGGAGACAGTTCTGCCGACAGCTCTGCCCCAGAGGAGGGTACGTTGTCCTGAGACTTAGGGTTGCAGCCCGATTCTACGGCCTTTCTTACAAAGTGTGAACTTGCATACTCCCTCTCGTGGATTGAATAGTGGAAACTCCCTCCAGCCAGTGCTTACAACAATCCAATGAATTTTACATCCATGGTGGGCAGTGTGCAAGGCCACACTTCAGGAAGTAGCCCAAGAGAGTGGTAGCTGTCAGTGGTTCGACTAACAATAGTAAGTTCTCTGAAGGTCCGGACTCATTCTGGAATCCTCTGTCCTTGGCTCCTTCTCAAAACACATTGGAGAGGATGATCCGAGGGGAGGGACCTTCTATCTTCTCCTCCAATACGGTTGAGAAGGAGGTGAGGAGATAGGATGCAAGGAATCATATAAAGACAAATTGAGACAGACCCCAAGAGAGTGGTTGATTGCTGCCTTTGGTTAATTTGACCAACAGTTGATTTGACTCTTGTATCGAAAGGTGCCTTATCAAAGACAAAATATGCTGCTATAGAGAATGCACTGTATCGTCATAGCTATAGAGACGGCACTGTATCGTCATGGCTATAGAGACAGCACTGTATCGTCATGGCTATAGAGACAGCACTGTATCGTCATGGCTATAGAGACAGCACTGTATCGTCATGGCTATAGAGACAGCACTGTATCGTCATGGCTATAGAGACAGCACTGTATCGTCATGGCTATAGAGACGGCACTGTATCGTCATGGCTATAGAGACGGCACTGTATCGTCATGGCTATAGAGACGGCACTGTATCGTCATGGCTATAGAGACGGCACTGTATCGTCATGGCTATAGAGACGGCACTGTACCGTCATGGCTATAGAGACGGCACTGTACCGTCATGGCTATAGAGACGGCACTGTATCGTCATACAGATGCAATGCGGTCTAAAAGAGGATCTAATTTATGCCGTCTCTCTACAACAATGCTAACGCCATGTAATGTTCTCCTCGTCCAGGTGAGGTGTCTGACTCCGAGAGCAACAGCTCTGCCTCCAGCTCTGACTCCTCGTCCGAGGACGATGTGTTCAGGGACGGCTACGGAGAGGACCTGATGGGGGACGAGGAGGACAGGGCTCGGCTGGAGCAGATGACGGAGAAGGAGAGGGAGCAGGAGCTCTTTAACAGGATAGAGAAGAGGGAGGTGCTCAAGAGGAGGTGAGACTAGGAGGAGCAGGAGACTTGTTACACTGTGTCTGGAGCCATAACAGTACAGAGCCTGGGGTGCGTTCAGCAGGAGAGTTGTTACTGTGTCTGGAGCCATGAGAGTGCAGAGCCTGGGGTGCGTTCAGCAGGAGAGTTGTTACTGTGTCTGGAGCCATAACAGTACAGAGCCTGGGGTGCGTTCAGCAGGAGAGTTGTTACTGTGTCTGGAGCCATGAGAGTGCAGAGCCTGGGGTGCGTTCAGCAGGAGAGTTGTTACTGTGTCTGGAGCCATAACAGTACAGAGCCTGGGGTGCGTTCAGCAGGAGAGTTGTTACTGTGTCTGGTGCCATAACAGTACAGAGCCTGGGGTGCGTTCAGCAGGAGAGTTGTTACTGTGTCTGGGGCCATTAGAGTGCAGAGCCTGGGGTGCGTTCAGCAGGAGAGTTGTTACTGTGTCTGGAGCCATAACAGTACAGAGCCTGGGGTGCGTTCAGCAGGAGAGTTGTTACTGTGTCTTTGGCCATAACAGTACAGAGCCTGGGGTGCGTTCAGCAGGAGAGTTGTTACTGTGTCTGGAGCCATAACAGTACAGAGCCTGGGGTGCGTTCAGCAGGAGAGTTGTTACTGTGTCTGGAGCCATAACAGTACAGAGCCTGGGGTGCGTTCAGCAGGAGAGTTGTTACTGTGTCTGGAGCCATGAGAGTACAGAGCCTGGGGTGCGTTCAGCAGGAGAGTTGGTACTGTGTTTGGAGCCAATAGAGTGCAGAGCCAGGGGTGCGTTCAGCAGGAGAGTTGGTA